GATAGATAGATAGATAGATAGATAGATAGATAGATAGATAGATAGATAGATAGATAGATAGAGGATAGAGAAATGAAATGAGGTCAGAAACTAAGGCAAGGCCAGTGGTGAAATGACTTGCTCAGTGTTACACAGATTGTAAATGGCAGAGCCAAGCCTCAAACCCATTCTCTACCTTGAAACCCATCACTTAATTCCACTGTATACATAGCCTCAGTTTGAAACAGTGTAGAGGTAGTATGGTAGAGTGGAGTGCTGGATTTGTATCCAGAGGAGCTAAGTTCAGATGCTGACACTCCTATTTATTATGTGAATGACTGTTAATGGATCATTTCTCATTAGCCTCAGTTTCTAAATATGTAAAATGTGGGAGTTGGAGTAGATGGTCTCCAAGGTCTACCTTATACTTCTAAATCTCTTCTATGAATCTAGATGAATAATGGTTATTCAGGTGACTGAAAACCAAAGCCACGGAGTCTGGCCATCCCCTTCCCCCTTTATCTCTTCTCTTCCTCTTCACTCTCCTACTTGAAATCCTCTCCATCCATCCAGGCCATGACTTCCAGGAGAAGAGATTAAGGATGAATTTCATTCAATAGTAAGCTTCTCCTCTATTGCCTTTGCTCTACTGGTCAAATCCCTTTTGATTATAGGACCTGTGAGTTAGGGGAGAAATTCTCCCCCTTGATACATCATGTTGCAATGTCAATCAAGAAGTTATAATATTACCTTCAGTAAACTCCTGGCATCTGGAAACACAAAGTGTGGTCTCAAATTTTACTCCATATTTAAAAATGCTACTGTCAATCATCAAGTGCATGGCATGGGATGATATTCACTCTGCACAACAAAATATTTAGTTATATGGTGATAAAGATCACAGACTTAAGAACAAATATATTTTGTAATGCTAAAACACTAAAATATTTTATGTGTACATTTTATGTCATTCTATACATTTGTTTGATTTCACTTAGAAATATTGGACTAAAAAGTTGACTTGAAATGTCTTCAAACTTGCCAGGAAATTTAAATGGCTCTTATTTGGGACTGAGGGAAAAACAAAACAAAACAAAAAACAAACAAACAAAAAAAAAGTGGATTCAGAGTCAGAGGACACTGGTTCACATCTCAGGTCTGTCACTTTCTAACCCTGACTTTGGGAAAGTAACTTATTTTCTCTGGGCCTCAGTTTTCTTATCTCTAAAATGGGGAGATTGAACTACATGGCCTCTGGGGTTTAATACTTTTTCTCCCAAGGAATCCCCCCACTAAGGGATCTGAGGTATTAAGGCAATGGCAGAAAAGGTATTCAAATACTTCCCCACATTATTGTGAACTTAGGGTAAAAAAAAGAAAAGGTAACAACTGGGATTTGCTGAGAGGAAGAAGGGAGAAATGGCAATGGCTGAACACAGACACACACACACACACACACACACACTTCAGCAGTAGTATGCAGAGGCAATAACTCCTAGACAACTTGTAGGAAGTACCTGAGAGATAAGCTAGGAACTGCGGAAAACTTCTGAAGAAAAGATAATGGTGGTGGTACATAGCCATGGTTGTACCAAAAGTGGGAAAACTGGCTTAAAAGAAGATAAGCCAGGAGTGACAAATGGGCGGTGGCCAAAGCTGAGACCCTAATTAATGCAGTTCATTTGAACTGGCCACAGAAGTTCGGATAGCCCAGGATACTGGGGTTTTATCTCCTGTCGTCATGAGTTGTTGGTGGGGAATGTGACCTGAACTGCAGGGTAAAGAGCCAAAGTCTCAGAGTAAGGGATGCTATTTATAACCATTTTCTCTCTATCCTTTCAATGCCTGACAATGAAGCTGATTTAGGTTTCAATACTTTGGCAGCCTTGGTTATTTGAAGCAGAAAAGTGAGCATCCCCAGTGTAGATATAAAAAAATGAGTCAGATCATTGTATTCAGAGTCCCTTTGGGTGGGAGCAAACATGAGACATAGAGAACAGTACTTATTGAGAAGTCTTCAAAATCATAATTCCAGAACTATATGATGATTTTTATTTTACAGAGATCAAGAGAAGTTAAGTGATTTTTCCAAGGTCACATAAGTAGGACTTGAAGGCAGGTCTTTTAAGTCTAAATCCTGTGCTCTGTCCAGTATGGCAGTCATAATGGAATGCTGGGTCATTAAAGAATAATTCTAGTAAAGGACAAGTTGTGTCAGGTCTTATCAAATTGTCAAGGTGTTCTGTACTGGTCCATTCAAACTTGGTAAGGCTGACCAAGTTGCAAAAAAGTTCAGCTTACTCTGTAGACCATTAGGCACTCTGTTAAAACCTTAGTCTGATGATGGACTGTATAATCCCCCAAAATCTATCTACCATTTAAATGTATTTATTGATATAAAGTGAGACAGTATGTGCAGTGGATAAAGCCAAGCTCAGAGCCAGAACAGACTGGCTGTGTGGCCCTCAGCAAGTCACTCTACATACATGCTCTAGTCAACTCATTAAAACTATAAATTACAGAGAAAGTGTCACCCTACTCTGGTAGAGGGAGTTTCCTCACCAGGGAGTTCCCTATACTAATGAAATCACAGTTTAGTCCTTGTTCTTACCCTTTGTTAATTGATATTAAACTTGATATGAATGAGACGGACATACACAAGATCCAAATGCTAAAACTGAAAAATTTCATTTTTAAAAGTTGTCATTTTTTAGCAATAATTATTTACCACTGAAATTAGTTGCCCTCAGAACACAAATTTGCATTCCAATTCATAGAAGCAAAAGAAAGAATCTTAAACTAGTATTTTTTTCTTTTCCTTTTTTTAATAGTTTATAAATAGCTATTTTTTTCCTTTTGAAAAACTTACAAAATACACCAAATTTTAAAGTGATGATATTGGCTCTACAATTACTTTGGTTCTACTTTAAAAAAAAAATACAGTATGCTTCATTTCAATGTGTAATAGAGCAGCGCCTGTTTGAAATATACTGACATGTTTGCATAGCACTTTTTAGTTGCTGAATTGCTTTCACATGCATACATCATTTGATCCTCACAACTACTCTGTGAGGTGCATATCATCCCCACTTTGCAGATAAAAAAAAAAAAAAACTAAAGCAAAAGATGTAAGCTGGCAAAGCCCTGCCTAGAACCCAAGTCTTTGACTGCAAATCCAGTAGTACTCTTGTCACTGCATTACACTCTGAGCTGTAATCATGATGGAACCACAAAATCCTGAGAAAAAATATTAATCATTAAAATGATATTACATTCATTAAAATGCCAAGAAATACAACAAATGAAATGCTAATCAAGAATTGGTCACCGGTGAATCAATATTCACAAAAATCCAAGTTTAAAAGTTCCCCTTCAAGTCAATTTGGAAATTTAAAGAAAAAAAAATCAAACCCATCCTGGTTCACCTGCAAAGCAGATACAGAAAAAGGAATTGAAGAGAGAGAAAGAGAAAAGAAAAGAAAGTAGATGAGAGGTGCGATTGAAGAAGGGGGGGGGGGAGAGAGAGAGAGAGAGAGAGAGAGAGAGAGAGAGAGAGAGAGAGAGAGAGAGAGAGAGAGAGAGAGAGAGAGAGAGAGGCAAAGTAGCACAGATTCAATTTAGTTTCTGTTCCAATAGTGTTAAGGCGCTGAATTTCAGTGCAACCAGAAACACTTGACTGGAGACGCTTTTTTCTTCCTCTAAGCCTCTGAGGAATAAAAGAGAGGGAAAGAGAGGAGAGAGAAAAGACAGACAGAGAGACAGAAACAGACAGAGAGAGTCTTAATGGGTATCCTAAGCAAATGATTCAGAAGGGATTAAGGTACGGTAGGATGAGGACGAAAAAGCATCCTTTAGACAAACACGACCTTCACTCTGCTTCTTGGTTTGCTTCTCAACCTAGTCAGAGAACCCAGACAAGTTTATTTACACACACACACACACACACACACACACACACACACACACACACACACACACACCTCACACTGAAGGAGCTGTGGAAACGCCCTCTTTCCATGTCTCCCAAACAATTATTTCGAAGAGCAAAAGAAAGAAAATAATCAGCAGCCCTCGTTCTGTGTGTGTTATGTGTGTATGTATGCAACTGCGTGTGTGTATGTGTGTGTGTGTGTGTGTGTATGTATGTGTGTGTGCGTGCATCTCCAGCCTTGCTGCGCCTGGGACCAGGGCGCAGGCAGAGAGGGAACCAGGCGGGCAGGCGGGCAGAGCCGGGAAACGTGGCTCCGCTGCTTAGCAGAGGAGTTGTGAAGAGGAGCGGTGGACCGCGTGCGCCTCTTGTTCCCGGTGTAATTTGCAGCCAATCATCAGTAGGTGTCCACGTCCCTGCGTCCTCCTCACCTCAGCGCCAATCACCCCCCCACACACTTGGCCCCCCTCCCGCCCCCTCAGCCAGCACACCTCCCCCCTGCTCCTTTCTCTCTCCCTCTCTCTCCCTCTCGCCCCCCCCCCCTCTGTTTGTGTGTGTGCGTGTGTGGTTGCTGGGGGAGGGGAGAGAGGGAGAGAGAGGGAGAGAGAAAGGAGCAGGGGGGAGGTGTGCTGGCTGAGGGGGCGGGAGGGGGGCCA